TGCGGGAGAGAGAGAGAGAGAGAGAGAGAGAGAGAGAGAGAGAGAGAGAGGCACTGGGTCTCTCTTGCTTTCAACCACATGCACTTCCCTTGCACACTTCCATTCGAAGCTCATCCTAAACAAATCTAATGTAGAGAATCTTTAATATAAGTTAATGGCTCAAAAACTTTATCTTTTCCTATTTTTTTTTTTTAACAGAGGACATTATGATTACCAAAAGTTGCCCAGTGCAATAATAACATCTGTTTCATTATGAAGGCTTTATTTTAGTCGTGTTATGCAGGTGAAAGGGTGAATCTCACGAATAAATGTCATATTTCATATCTCACAGAAAATATAAGAAATTCTATTTGCATTTGCAGAAAATTATGGATTTTTTGGAACTGAATTTCGATATAATTTTCATGACAATCATTGCTATGAAAATTGTATTCATATTAGATACAAACTCCATATTTCTGAAGTGATTTTTTTATTTAAATATTTTATTTAAAAAAATAAACATTTAATAAAAATGTAAATATATTTAATCAGCTAGAAAGTGAAATTGCAATGCCTATAAATAAAGTCTATAATCATAAACAATAGGAAATGCATAGGTCAGATGATCGAGGAATTTTTCATTTAAATTAGCATAAATTAAAAGCAGTAAAACAATACTACCATTATAGAATACAATCACATTGTACTTTATAAACTGTATAAAATATATTATGTAGATATTTTGTAATATGTATACATTTAAAAAATCTCTTTTATTGCATTACAGTTGTGAATACATTTTTAATTGTCATGAAAATAATGACAATTATTGTCATTAAATGCCCCAAAAAAGAAATGGTTCCTTCATTTTCTTCATGAAAAATTTAATTTATTATTTCTTTCATTTAAAAAAAAACAAAAAAACAATGGAGGTGAAAAATGACAAATGACATTTGTCATTTTATATGTCAAGAAAACTGAGAAATTATCTTTGCATTTGCAGAAAATGAAGGATATTAGAAGAAAAGCTTATTAGTCAGTTATTTCTGGTGAATATAAACATTTACATTTAAATATTTCATTTTAAAAAATCATTTTTTTTTACATAAAATGTTTAAATATTTAAATATATATTCAATCAGCTATAAATTTAAATTGCAGTGTGTGTATATAATCTCTGCAAATTAGTCTTTACAAATTATATAAAATATATTATTAGTTAGATATGTATATATTTTAATAAGATTTTTAGCATTACAGTTGTGGATAAATGTTTAATTGTCATGCAAATAATGCCCAAAATTTTTCTTCACGCAAAGCATAGTTCCTCAAGTCTTTCTATTGATTATGAGGTGATTCACCCGGGAGAGCGTGACTTTGGTCATTAGCGCGTCAGTGCCTCTTTTCACTGATGTACTGAAGTGCTTTAATACGTTTGGTGCGAGAGGCGAGTCTCCCTCATAGTTTTCCACGTTTCCCTTCGTTCACGTGTTTCCTAAGACGGCCCACGCAAGGGCGAAAGCAATGCTGGGAGCGAGTAATAATCTCAATGCTGCATCAGAGTGTTCCCGCAGATACCAAACCTTTCTTACACTGACAAACTTCCAAGTTGCAATGGTGATTTTCTTCAGCTCAGGTCCACGGCACTTTCTGAGCACTCTGAACGAGGAGGATTGGGTTCTTGACACTCGCACTAGCGGTCTGTTTACATTAGCACCTGGTTGCTGCGTGATTTTGGTGGAGAGAGATGTGCTCTCGTCTGCCTGAACGGACTCATCTCCGCCATCTTGGCTCAAACGGGGCCCTTTTTTCTGGGTCTCAGCTGCACTCGACGGTTTTTCTGACACTGAGGATGATTGTGCCGGACTGTGATTGATTGATTGAGTTTTAGTTTTCACTCCATCTGATCTTAAGTGGATTTTTGAGACATTGTGACTGGACACTTTTTGAGACATTTGTAACTGGACACTATTCTACTTCCTGTCTTGTCGGCTGGAGAGTTTACCAGGCCAGTTAAAAGACGTTTTATTGAGGCACATTTGTACTGGCTTTAACCTGCGCAGAGTATTAAAATCTTAAAATAAGCTGATATATATATATAAATATATGTTATTTCTGGAATGTTTATTGAAGTTAAAACCAAACTTGAATGAGAAAACCATCAAGTTTCTGACAAATCAAACAGCGTTGCAATAGCTGCACCTGCCTCGGTCAGTGTTGGCATTACCGGCGTGAATCACAACACACACGAGACTTTTCATTTGAATACTTGAAGTGCAATCTTGGTTGTGTTTGGATATTTCGGGATCCGTTTGCTGACCTCGAAGCAAAGACTGAGGAATGTGGGACTCTCAGAGAGCGTTTTTGACTCCGTCGGGGGAAGAAGTTTCCAGTATTGAATGTAACTTACTTTGTTTTATTTTTAGAGCAAGAAGATTCAACGTTGCACCGAACTTGCACATACAGAGTTTTAAAAGAAAAATGAATCACTATCTTGCAATAGAAAAGCCTAAACTGTGGTTATTTATTTTTTGAATGCATTATCCTTAAATATTTAGAGAATTATAAGTACAGAGAAAGATATATTTACAGCTTGTGCAGATGAGTGAGGTGTGTGTGTGTGTGTGTGTGTGTGCGTGTGCGTGTGCGTGTGTGTGTGTGTGTGTGTGTGTGCGCGTGTTACATCTCACTCTTTTATAGGATGAATCTCACAAGAACAAGTCCAGGTCACACTTCACCCTATAATTGGGGAAAAAAAAAACTGAATTATATTTGGAATATAAGCCAATTATTATATATTATATTATATGTTGGAATATATTATATTTTGGAATTATATTTGGAATATAAGCCACTTACATTTTTTGGATGTATTGTATTTGCATTTATTTTTATTTTTTATTTTTTTTACAGTTGTAAAGAAATATTTAATTGTCATGAAAATAATGCTGAAAAAAGAAATTAATTTTCTTCATGCAAAATATAATTTCTTCGTTTTTCTTTAGAATTTGTGGTGAAAATGACGTCATATTTCATATCTTAAGAAAAATTCAATAAATAATAAAAACAATAAATGCGTTTTTATATTATTTTAATGACAATCCATTACTGTAAAGTGGAAAAAATCTTATTCTAATTACAGAAATCTTAGTCAGCGATATTTCTGAAGTGGATAAATTAATGTAAATTTTAAGTAATTAAATAATAAATATTTATTAAATAATATATATATATATATATACATACATACATATATATATATATATATATACATACATACATACATGCATATATATTTCTTCTTTTTT